CTGCTCACATGAAGCATAACCACCCTACCAAGGCAGGTCTGGACACCACTGCCCGAGTTGGGAGTGGGTCTGGGCATTCACAAAGGCATCCAGGGAAATCCAGGAACTCAGCAGCCACAACTACCAGCTTACCAGCTCCCGAATGTGCGCTTCCTGGGCAGCTGCGACTTCCCTGCTCTGCTTCAACTGCTCCTCAGAGGCCAGCAGGGTCTGCTCTAATTCTTTCACCTGAGAGGGAAACAAGCATTCTTTCTATTCCAAGAAGCTGAAGAATAGTAATAAATGGCTTTAAAATGCAAACCAGGGCTGGTGTCGTGGCTCCCACCTGTAATCCTAGCACTCTTGGAAGCTGAGGCAAGAGGATCACTTGAGACCAAGAGTTTCAGGTTGCTGTGAGCTATGATGCCACAGGACTCTACTGAGGATGACAGAGTAAGATTTTTTCTCAAAAAAATAAATAAAATGCAAACCAGGCTGGTGCAGTGGCTTACACCTGTGATCCCATCACTTTGAGACCAGCCTGGAGTCTCATAGCACAATTTTATCTCACAAAAAACCCAAAAATTAGCCAGGGGTGGTGGCTTGTGCCTGTATTCCCAGCTCCTTACCTGACTGAAAAGGAACCTCTTTAATTCAGTAGATTAAATACCAAAAACCTCCTGTAAACTTTATACCAAAGGAGGAAACTTCAGATATTCCCTTTAATATTGGGTTCATAACAGTGATGCCCACTATTACTGTAATTGCTTCATACAGTACTGGAGGTCCTTCCATGACATATGGCCAGAAAATAGAATAAGAGGCACAAAGACTGAAAGTAGTAAGATAAAAGCTGTCACTATTCATAGGTGATACAATTATCCATTTAGGAAATACAAAATAAATCACACAATATTAGAGTAAGAGAGTTTGGCAGGTGTTCAAATAACCAAGCTCAACTAGGCAAAAGAAGGGATTTCTTGGCTTGGTGCCTGTAGTTCAGTGGTTAGAGCACTGGCCACGTGCACTGGGGCTGGTGGGTTCAAACTCGGCCTGGCCCTGCTAAAACAAAACAAAACAAAACAGCCAAGTATGTGGGCATGTATAGTCCCAGCTACTAGGGAGGCTGAGGCAAGAGAACAGCTTAAGCCCAAGAGCTGGAGGTTGCTGTGAGCTGTGATGCCACAGCACTCTACCAAGGAGCAGAGTGAAACTCTATCTCAAAAAAGAAAAATTTTCTCAAGAAAAAAATTGGGGGCTCGACGCCTATAGCTCAACCGGCTAAGGCGCCAGCCACGTACACCTAAGGTGGCGGGTTCGAATCCCCAGCCCGGACCCGCCAAACAACAATGACGGCTGCAACCAAAAAATAGCCGGGCGTTGTGGCGGGCGCCTGTGGTCCCAGCTACTTGGGAGGCGGAGGCAGGAGACTCGCTTGAGCCCAGGAGCTGGAGGTTGCTGTGAGCTGTAATGCCACGGCACTCTGCCCAGGGGGACAGCTTGAGGCTCTGTCTCAAAAAAAAAAAAAAAAAAAAGAAAAAGAAAAAAATTGGGTAGCACCTGTGGCTCAGTGGGTAGGTGCTAGCCCCATAAACCAAGGGTGGCAGATTCAAACCTGGCCCCGGCCAAATTGCAACAAGAAAATAGCTGGGCGTTGTGGTAGGCACCTGTAGTCCCAGCTACTTGGAAGGCTGAGGCAAGAGAATCACCTAAGCCCAGGAGTTGGAGGTTGTTGTGAACTATGATGCCATAGCACTCTACTGAGGGCAATAAAGTGAGACTGTCTCTAAAGAAAACAAAAAGGGATTTCTCTAGAATAACCAGAAATAACTAATTAAAAATACAATTAAAAATAAGAGGCTCAGTGTGGCGCCTATGGCTCAGTGAGTAGGGCACCAGCCCCATATACTGAGGGTGGCGGGTTTGAACCCAGCCGTGGCCAAACTGCAACAAAAAATAGCTGGGCGCTGAGGCAGGTGCCTGTGGTCCCAACTACTCAGGAGGCTGAGGCAAGAGAATTACCTAAGCCCAAGAGCTGGAGGTTGCTATAGCTGTGATGCCATGGCACTCTACTGAGGGTGACAAAGTGAGACTCTGTTTCAAAAAAATAAATAAATAAAAATAAAAATAAAAAAGAGGCTCAGCACCCATAGCACAGTGGTTATGGCATCAACCACATACACAGAAGCTGGCAGGTTCTAACCTAGCCTGGACCAGCTAGATAACAACGACAACTGCAACAACAACAAAAAAATAGCCAGGTGTTGTGGCAGGCACCTTAGTCCTAGCTACTTGGGAGGCTGAGGCAAGAGAATCACTTAATCCCAAGAGGTCAAGGTTGCTGTGAGCTGTGACCCCACAGCACTCTACTGAGGGCAACACAGTGAGGCTCTGTCTCAACAAACAAGCGAACAAACAAAAAGATACCATCACAGCATCAACACAAACTCTAAAATTTCTAGGAACTAATAACTAAGAAAATAAATAATCTTTCAGGAAACATAAAAAATGTTAGTAAAGAACACAGAAAATAATCTGAATAATAGAATTATTTACATTCTTGGAAGGAATTACTTAATATTAAAAAACTGACAATTCTCAATTAGCCTATATATTTAGTGCAATCTCAATAAATATGTAGGTTTAATTTCTTGGAACTCAAAAACTTCAAAACTTTAAAGGTCTACAAATAGCTAAATCAGCCTTCAAGGAAAAGGATAACTTGTCTCAGCAGATACTAAGATATAGTACAGGCTCGGCGCCTGTGGCTCAAGTGGCTAAGGTGCCAGCCACATACACCTAAGGTGGCGGGTTCGAATCCCCAGCCCGGGCCCGCCAAACAATGATGGCTGCAACTAAAAAATGGCCAGGCGTTGTGGTGGGCGCCTGTGGTCCCAGCTACTTGGGAGGCTGAGGCAGGAGACTCGCTTGAGCCCAGGAGTTGGAGGTTGCTGTGAGTTGTGATGCCATGGCACTCTACCCAGGGGGATAGCTTGAGGCTCTGTCTCAAAAAAAAAAAAAGATATAGTACAGACAATACAATGTAAAGAAACACTGTAGCAATCATATTATACTGGAGCAGACAATCAGACCAATGGATACACATGCAGAGACAAACTCATGTGCATATGGAACCTAATACACAATAAAGTTAGCATAAGAAATACGTTCAGAAAGGACAGATTATTTAGTAAATGGTGTTAAAAAAAATGGAGAAAAATAAAGTTGGATCCACACCTAACACAACACATAAAGATAGGCTGAACATGAATTAGAATATGAATTATCCTTTTATCAAGGATAAAATTATAAAGTTAATATAAAAAATAACGTAGATTTCTGTGACTTAAGAGCAGGAATGGATTTCTTTCTTTCTTTTTTGAGATGGAGTTTTATTTTGTCACCCTTGGTAGACTGTTGTGGCATCATAGCTCACAGTAACCTCAAACTCTTGGGCTCAGGTGATCCACTTGCCTCAGCCTCCCCAGTAGCTAGGATTATAGCTGGCTGCCACAATGGCCAACTTTTTTTTAGTGATGGAGTCTTATTCTTTCCTGCTCAGGCTGGTCTCAAACTCCTGAGCTCAGGCAATCCACTTGCCTTAGCCTCCCTGATTGCTAGGGTGCTAGGATTGCAGGCATGACCCACCATGTCCTGCAGGAATGAATTCCTTTTTTTTTTTTTTTTAAGAGACAGAGTCTCATTTTGTCACCCTCGGTAGATGCTGTGGTATCACTGCTTATAGCAACCTCCAGCTCTTGGGTTTAGGTGATTCTCTTCCCTCAGCCTCCTGAGTAGCTGGAACCACAGGTTCCTGCCAAAACGCCCAGCTATTTTTTGTTGCAGTTAGGCCGGGGCTGTGTTTAAACCCGCCACCCTCAGTACATGGGGCTAGCACCCTACTCACTGATCCACAGGTGCTGCCCAAGGAATGAATTTCTTAATGGAAATGTTTGAATGGAACTTCAAACTCCACAGCTAGACTGATGAGTCTAATGACATTAAATGTAAGAACTTCTGTTTGATATGAAAAAAGTTAACAGACTGGCTCAGGGCCGTAACTGACAAGGATTAGGAAAAAGAATATACAATAAAATCCTATCAACCAAGTAAGAGAAGACAAAACCCCTAAAGGAAAACAAGCGAAGGATATGAATGCACAATTCCAAAAGTAGATACCCCAAAGAATGACAAGCATAAGACGATATGGTTATACTAATTAATAACCACAGCAATGCAAATTATAACAATGAAGTATCACTTCACATTCATTGAAATGGCAAAAATTAAAAGGCTGGGAGGCAGTGTATGGTATAATGCTAGCACTTTGGGAAGTTAGGGCAGGAGGACTGCTTGAGGCCATAGTTCAAAAGCAGCCTGGGCCACAGAGTGAGACTCTATCTCCATAAAAAAAGAAAACAAAAAATTAGCTGGGCCTGATGTTGCATGCCTGTAGTCCAAGCTACTGAGAAAGCTAAGCCAGGACAATCACTTGTGCCCTGGAGAGGTTGTAGTATACTGTGACTACATCCTGTACTCCAGTCTGAGTGACAGAGTAAGATCCTGTCTCCAAAAATAACAACAACAATAGTGATAATAAAACAAAATATAGGCTCGCCACCTGTGGCTCAAGTGGCTAAAGCGCCAGCCACATACACCTAAGGTGGTAGGTTCGAATCCAGCCTGGGCCCGCCAAACAACAATGACAGCTGCAACCAAAAAATAGCCGGGTGTTGTGGCGGGCACCTGTGGTCCCAGCTACTTGGGAGGTGGAGGCAAGAGACTCACTTGAGCCCAGGAGTTGAGGTTGCTGTGAGCTGTAATGCCATGGCACTCTACCCAGGGGGACAGCTTGAGGCTCTGTCTCAATAAAATAAAATAAAATAAAATAAAACAAAACAAAATAAAATATAAAAGGCTGGGAAATGCCAATTTGGAAAAGGCAGAGATCCAAATACAGGAAGGAGGAGAACAGGTGCAGGCTTTCTAAGAATAATCCGATTCTGTTTAGTCACTTTAGGGTATACGCTTTTTCTATCACCCTTCAGGGACAGGGACAAGGCTGTTTATTGCAATGTAACGTAAGGTGGAAAGAAAAAGAAGGTAATCAGGATGTCTACCACACAGATAACCTCACAGGTAAGTAGACAACTACAAGTGGATACAGACAGAATGTAGGGCAACTGAAAGTAGCAGAGAAGACACAGAGCTGCCATCATTTACATGAATTAAAAACACGTGCACAGGCCAGGTGCAGTGGCTCACACCCGTAATCCTAGCACTCTGGGAGGCCAAAAAGGACTGACTGCTTGAACTCAGGAGTCTGAAACCAGCCTGAGCAAGAACAAGACCCTATTTCTATTAAAATAGAAAAAAAAAAAGGGTGGTGCTTGTGGCTCAGTGGGTAGGGTGCCGGCCCTATGTACTGAGGGTGGTGAGTTCAAACTTGGCCCCAGCCAAACTGCAACATAAAAATAGCCAGGCATTGTGGCAGACGCCTGTAGTCCCAGCTACTCAGGAGGCTGAGCAAACAGAATCACCTAAGCCTAGGAGTTGGAGGTTGCTGTGAGCAGTCTGACACCATGGCACTCTACTGAGGGCGATAAAGTAAGACTGTCTCTACAAAAAATATAAAAATAGCCAGGAATTATGGCAGGAGCCTATAGTTCCAGCTACTTGGGAGGCTGAGAAAAAGGATCACTTGAGCCCAAGAGTTTAAGGTTGCTGTGAGCTACGATGATGCCACAGCACTCCACATAGGGCACAGAGACTGTCTCAAAAAACAACTACAAAAAAACACATAGGCACAAAAATCAATGCTACCTACTTTAAAGTTAACAAAACTCTGTATTAAACCCCTCCCCCCCACCGAATGGTTTCCTATGGGAGGGAGGCCAACGGGGATAGAAGGGAATAAGTAAACAGGAGACCAACTCTGCATGGAAGTCAATGATGGAGGTACAGCATAAATGATGGAAACGACTGGCTCACTCCTATATACGTAAGGTCCAAAAAGTAGCACCTTCCAGTGAAAACTCTCTGACCAAGGGGATTCTCAGCCACATTATGTACCACCCAAACATAGGAAACCGCACGAATAAAGTTAGTACCTGAGACTCCAGAGTGTTAATGGCCTTGGCTTGGCTGTTTCTTATTGCTAAGAGCTCCTGTCTGGTATCCTCCAAATTTTGCTCAGCAACTGTTTTCTGTAAGTTGAAAGAAGAGTAAAAGAAAATACTAATTCCTCCATTGAATATACTTTTACTGATATCTACAACATACTATAATTTGTGGTAGGATTTTTTTTTTTTTTTTTTTTT